TCGCAGAAGTGTGATCAGACTTTATAATAAAATACTAAAAAGTGGAAAAGAGAATTTAACAATTAAAAATAAAATGGAAAAATGAATAATATTATATCAAATAGAAACAATATAAACAAAACAATCAAAAATACTACAGGATATTCAAGCTGATTTCCCTCAAGATAAACTGAAATATTGCTTTAGTTTCTTTGTGCTATCTCAAGTCCTACATCTTGTATTGCTTGTATTTAATACTGTCCAAGGCACTCCTGCACATTTTAAATTATTTTCCTCTGAGATGCGTTCAAGAACAGCTGCAAATCAACAACACTTGTAATGCAGCAGAAGGTCCAGTGAGCTGCAAACTACACCATGTGTTTATCAGGAAATATTCTTTTGTGGAAGTTTAAAAAGGACATGAATGAACTCAAAAGAGATGTTGAGGTTTGCTGCTTGTGTTGGAGTTGTACACACAACAGAAGACAGGTGGCGCCATCTGGTGGCTGTATTGGAGCATTGCAAGTATTTCTAAATTCAGCTTCATCATCTCATTTAAACTTCTTGAGGTTTAAAAAGTCCTTTTTTTGTTTTTCACTAAATCAATCTGCATTAAATCTGCATGATTCCCAGCAGCTTTAGAGCTTCTACTTCAGTCAGTCTCCTTTCATCTCAGAGGAGACGAGGATAATCAGATGCAGGAAGTTAAAATAAGATGAAATATACTTTATTAATCCCACATTTGGGAAAAGTGTTTCTAGGTATTAAGGACAGTAGGGAGGTGGGTAGGTTTTGCACATAATTAGAAATCAAAAAAGGTAGAAAATAAACATTTATACAATATAAACATCTCAAAATAGCAGATAAAACAGAACTAAAAGAGTGAAAATATAAGAGTTGACCGTGATATAAAATATGTAAACCATCTGACAAATGTAAAAAAGCTAAATTACAGCTAACACAATATAGAAGTGGGAGATTATTTACATTTAGTGTGCAAGAACGAAGGTGTTTGTAGTTTTCTACCATCAGGTTTGAAGCTTTTTGAACAGGAAGTCTCTCGATTAATGAACATCAGTCAGGAGATGATGGAGAAATGCTCAGCTCAACTTAAATGACAGTGTCGTCACAAAATAACTTTGACCGAGCAGCAAATTTATGCATCTTCAGCCTCTGAGTTTTGGCTTTCTTTCTAAGCGTCTGCCATGGATTTCAAAATGAGTGATAATTTTGGGAATTATTTTCTTTATTCTGCCAAAAGTAAAAAAGGACTGTTTGTGAACACAGCTGCAGCTGGATAAGAAAACTATTCTGTCAACTGTTTGATATAAAAATAACAATAACAAATCCAACCAGCAGAGGGCCACATAACAACCTACATAATAATCTCACATTTTGTCCAAAGAAACAATGTAATGTTCATAAAAAGCACTTTTAAAGAGACAGAGTAGAACAGAGAATTATATAAGTAGATGCTGACAGAAAAATATACTGTAAGTCATAGTAAAATATGTATTATTCTAGTCCAATTATAATTGACATTTGGTCTTTTATATGACTTTTTTCTAGAGTTTTTAAAACATTTTTTGTTAATTATTTTTCGAATTAATTAATTTCCGAATGTATTGAGTCTTTAAGCTCGAGATTTTAAGGGAGGTTTTTACATTCCTGTATTTTCCAGGATGTACAGCATAGTCACAACAGCACAGAGGGTCATTTATCATAATTTATTACATGATTTAGTTGAATACTCGATTCTGATTGGTCAATCCGGACATTTCAGAGGTCGTTGTGACAGTAGTACAGACCGTGAGGAGGATGAAGAGAGAGAAAGATGTTAAAAGATGGATGAAGTCAGATAGACCAGAAGCAGACAGGAAGTAAACACTAACATTACTAAGATTTAGGAGGAAGTCAAATATGTGTTTATTCCAGATGATAAAGAATATAAACGGGTCTGTCTTCTTGTTTGTTGCACTGCATCAGCTGAGTGACACTTCTCTAAAGGAAGATATAATGCAGGAATAAATAAATATACAGTCTGGATTCTTGTTTTATGTATCTGCATTATATTTAAGATTAAGTGAATTCGTTGCATGGTCATTTCTTATTTTAATCAGTTTATTCCTCCTATAAATGCACATTTTCGGACATAGATTTTTATCCTATTAAGGAAGAAAGCATTTCATTTTGACATCAAATAAAGAGAGATTCAGGAGGAAGTCAAATATAGTCTTTTATTTGAGAGGGTTCTGAATATATATTACACTCTCCTGTCTGTCTTCTTGTTTAGTGGACTGCATTTTTTTTAATAAAGATAAAATGCAGAAATATAAATATATAGTCTTTTTGTTTTACCTAATTAACGTGAGATTTTCCTAATGATGAAATTGTCCCACTGCATACCAATCAATCAATCAATCAACAACTTTATTAATCCCGCAAGGGGCAATTGGTTATGAGCAGCAGTTTATGTCATGTACACAGGCAGGAACATACAGGAAGAAAACACACAGATACACCTGGGAGCACAGATGTGGATCATTCCAATTTACACGATACAATTTAACATTTAAAATAATCAACCCCTTGTTTAGTCGTATCTTTAATTAATGACTCGCTCCTGTATTTCTCAGTAGAGTCTATTTGACGCACACATTTTTCGAACATAGATTTTTTACCATATTTGAGATTCTTTTTGACTTCGATTTTGGTTTAAAATCAAGGCTAATTCGCTCCATGGTGATATATGGTGATAGTAATCTATTACCTGCAGAGGAGGAGCTGCAGCAGCAGTCTGAGCGTCAGTCGGAGAGGTGAGTCCTCCGAGCCACACCGGGACTAAGCACCGGGACAGAGACGCTTCTTACCCCCTGTGGAGGCACTGAACTCCGGCAGGATTTATTATTATCACCGCTACTAAGTTAATAACCAAGCTTTTTTTTAAATCTTTCATTTGTAGGGATACTCGCGGAGTCTTTCTGGGTATTGATGTGAGAGAGGAGCTTTTCTTTTCTTCCATAAGGATCTATTTTTTTAGTTTGAGTATTTTTTCTAAATTATTTACGCAATCTTTCTCATGTTTTAAAATTCATTAATTTCAGAACTAATTTGGTCTTCAAGATATTAGAATTTAAGGGATGTTTTTGCATGCTTATATATATATATACAACATCGTAAATAACATATTAAAGTCAGAACCGTAGAAAGGATTATTTCTTTATTTCTTTGCATATGGATATTTTATTTTAATGCCTTCAGGATTTTTATTGGAGACAGTTTCCTCTATTATTCTGCTCCTGTTATCCTTTCTTTTCACCCCCCTATGGATACACTGAGTTAATATTATCACCACTATTAAGTTATCATCAAAGCTTTATTCAAATCTTTAATTTCTTGTGAAACTCGCAGAGCGCGGGATCTCTTCTTTTTTTTGCATAAGGATCTTTTTTTTTAAGACAAATGGATTTTTATTGAAGACAGTTTCCTTCATTCTTCTTCAGTGAGGCTTCAGAGGATGGTGTGTGCGTCAGAAGCAGCTGGATTTAAGATTGGATTTTAACCACCTGTTGTATTTAACACTTTATACTGAAAAAATGGATAACAACACCATGTGGAATTTCACCCAAGTTCTGTCGGAGCTTGACGGGACAGAAAGTGAGGAAGAGGAGGAGGAACATGATGAAGGCAGTGGTGGTGGTGGAGGGTTGCGTATCCTCCTCGGTTGCGTCCTCTTCCTGCTCATCGTGTCCACGCTGCTCGGGAACATGCTGGTTTGCGCCGCCGTGGTTCGTTTCCGCCACCTTCGCTCCAAAGTCACCAACTTCTTCGTGATTTCGCTGGCCGTGTCCGACCTGTTCGTGGCCGTGCTGGTGATGCCGTGGGAGGCCATCACCGAGGTCACCGGCACCTGGTTGTTCGGGCGATTCTGCAGTGTTTGGATCGCCTTCGACATCATGTGCTCCACGGCGTCTATTTTGAACCTGTGTATCATAAGCGTGGACCGATACTGGGCCATCGCGAGCCCGTTCAAATACCAGCGGAAGATGACCCACCGGGTGGCGTTCGTCATGATCGGCGTGGCGTGGTCTTTGTCCATCCTCATATCTTTTATCCCGGTGCAGCTCAACTGGCACCAGGAAGGGATGGAGGACTTGATGGTGGAAATGATGGTGGGAAACGGCGGGAACTTCACAAACAGCAGCAGCGGCTTCAATGCCAAAAGCTGCGTCGCCAACTTGAACAAAACATACGCCATCTCCTCCTCGCTCATCAGCTTCTACATCCCCGTGGTGATCATGATCGCCACGTACACCCGCATATACCGGATCGCTCAGATGCAGATTCGCCGCATCACGTCTCTGGAGAGGGCGGCGGAGCAGGCGCAGAACCAAGGCCACGGCGCGAACAGAAACCAGCATCACCATCACAGGTCCAACGACGAAGCCTCGCTCAAGTCGTCCTTTAAGAAGGAAACCAAAGTCCTGAAGACCCTCTCCATCATCATGGGGGTTTTCGTCTTCTGCTGGCTGCCGTTCTTCGTGCTGAACTGCTACATCCCGTTCTGCGACCCTCCATGCGTAAGCGACACAACCTTCACCGTTTTCGTGTGGTTCGGATGGGCCAACTCCTCCCTGAACCCGGTGATTTACGCCTTCAACGCAGACTTCCGACGCGCCTTCGCCACCATTCTTGGATGCAACAAAATGTGCTCCAACAACACGGTGGACGCGGTGAACTTTAGCGACGAGCTTGTTTCCTACCACCACGACACGACACTCCACAAGGAGGCGCTGGTTCCCGTGCAGCCGCAGCGGCATCCTCGCACAATAAACGCCGCTGGGTCGGACAGCCTGGAGGACGCTCAGATTGACGAGGAGTCGATCATCTCCAACAGACTGCTGCTGCTTCCTGCCACCGTGCAGCTGGAGGACGATCCTGAACTTTCTCTGGAGACGATCACGCCGTTCACCTCGAAGAATGAAGCTCTTATTCCAGGACAAGTCCATCAGGACGGATAGGAGACACTGCATTAAAGGACTAAACAGGAACATTATTTACATGGATCTTTTCCGAACATGTCCTCTGAAATGTTTTCTTTTTGTTAATATGAAATGATGGAGGACTAAATCTTTAAATCTGGCGAAATACAACTCAAGAGACTTTGTAGCTGAAGCTTCATATAAAAAACATATTTTATTGAGTTTTTTCCATGTGACTGATTGTGCTGTTGGATTCTTGTGTGGAAACTTATTTAAATGGAAGCAGAATTAGTTATTAATCATACTTAACATATTGAGGTTGGTAATTAAATAATGATTTTAAAGGAAAGAGATTGTTTGGTCAGACATTAAACCGTATTTATTACACCAGAACCACTGAATGTTTCCATTATTACACTGTATGAATATGTAAAACCTAAAATACCAAGAAACAACATCTGCCCTGTGACAACAGCAAATAAAAGGGACTAAACTGGGACTCAACAGCACCAAATGACCAATTAATTAAAGGGGACCTATCATGCAAAATGCACTTTTGTACGTCTTTTCTACATGAATATGTGTCCCCGGTGTTCCAGGGAACTCACCAAGTGTCAGAAAACACAACCCTCTCTATTTTCCTCCATACCCAAATCTCTAAAAAAGGGGCTGCAACGGATCTGATAAAAACTGATCCAGATTTGAACATTTCTCTGACGTCAGGACGGTGGCGCTGACCTATCAGGGGAATGAGAGGTTGCCGTGGCATGGTAACAGCATGGTAACAGCATGGTAACAGCATGGTAACACAACGCTCGTAACTCGGCCCCCTCCTTTGCAGGGGGGCGTGGTCAGCTGCAGCGCATGCAAAGACAGGGTGGAGGAGAGCAAAATAGAGTGAAATGAGGCATGGCTAAAATGCATGATCTGTTTGGTATTTTGAAAAAGAAAACGTATAAATATACCTTATATAGGTATGGCCCTACAATATATTATTCAAATATAGCATGATAGGTCCACTTTAAATGATAGAGTATTCATCAGGAGTGTTTGAGATGATGAGAAGAAGGTCGAGGGGTTTATTGAGTCCATTGGAAATTAAACTTGCAGAATCTCCAGGTTGTCTTGTATTGTGGTATTGTGTATTCATGCATTAAAGGACGACCCAGACACATCAACGTCTTTCACCAAATTCACTTTATTCTCTGCACGTTTTTAATCTTCTTACAACAGATTGACTTATTGGTGCAAAAAGTGTTGGTGGACGATTATCATTTCTCAGGTGTTTGAGAATACTTCAATCTTCTGTTGCCCAAAGAACAAAGGGAACCAATAACCTGTACCAACAAGTATCAGGTAGCTCAACATGGAAGTACTCTTAGTTGAGTAAATGTATGAAGTGTTGGACACGTTGCAGACAGAGATGTTGATGCTGTCAGTGATGAGGATCTGTTCTCAGCTGTCAGAGAGCAGCAGAGAGCGGCTGGGGTTAATCTGTAACTACAATATAAAGTCATATACAGTTTGAACTGAGAGCTGCAGGGAGCGGCTGGGGGTTAATCTTTAACTACAATATAAAGTCATATACAGTTTGAACTGAGAGCTGCAGGGAGCGGCTGGGGGTTAATCTTTAACTACAATATAAAGTCATATACAGTTTGAACTGAGAGCTGCAGGGAGCGGCTGGGGGTTAATCTTTAACTACAATATAAAGTCATATACAGTTTGAACTGAGAGCTGCAGGGAGCGGCTGGGGGTTAATCTGTAACTACAATATAAAGTCATATACAGTTTGAACTGAGAGCTGCAGAGAGCGGCTGGGGGTTAATCTGTAACTACAATATAAAGTCATATACAGTTTGAACTGAGAGCTGCAGGGAGCGGCTGGGGGTTAATCTTTAACTACAATATAAAGTCATATACAGTTTGAACTGAGAGCTGCAGGGAGCGGCTGGGGGTTAATCTTTAACTACAATATAAAGTCATATACAGTTTGAACTGAGAGCTGCAGCGTCACACTGCTTTATCAGAGTGTTGGACACAGAGGACTGATGAAGAAGCAGAGGATTCACTCCTGATGGAGCACATGGTCAGATCAGCAGGAAACCCTTCTTCTACACAGACCTGGTCCTCACAGCTGATGGAGTTCATGAGAAGAGACTGAGTAAGTGGGACTTTGATTCATTCAGTGTGTAATGTTTCAAACAGCTGCTCTTTGTGGGTTCATGTGTTCACCTCCTGTCTTTAGAATGACAGCACTCAGTTTATCTGACAACTGATGTTTGAAACTACAGCTCACTGTCTTTAAAGTCTACATGTAGAAACAGATTGTATTTCCTGATCACTAACAAATATAAATGGCATTAAAGTAATAATGAAGCCGTGTGTCTGTCTCCATCAGGTGGCTGCAGGTTATCACCAACATGGAGAGGTATCACACTCAACACTTCACATGATGTTTGAAACTGTTTCACCCTTCAACATGTTCTCTCTTACTGACTGGCTGTTTACTGGCTCTGCTCTTTCTCCTGAACATTGACTCATAATAAACCTGTACATCTATAAAACACATTCAGATTGAATCCTGATTCTGGACTGCAGTTTGGACTTTGATTCTTCTCTGATCTTATGAAGACTCATATTCCATATTTATTGAGGCGTGGGTCAAAGGGCTCTCATAGAAAGATCTTTGTTAATTAATAACTCAGAAACAGTTTATTATTGTTATGATGGAAAAAACAATCAATGCAGAGAGATCTGAGGACTGGTTGAGATGTCCAAGTACTAGTTCCAGAGATCTAGGGACCTGTTCAAGAGGTCCTAGGGACTAGTTACAGAGCACTAGAGACTTGTTGCAAAGATTTGTTTCCCTACTTTTTCCCCTGAACATTGACTCATAACATTGATACTTCTCTTACCTTATGAAGGCTCATAATTCATCTTTATTGAGTCCTCTGTGGGTCAAAGTGCTTTCATAAATAGAATGATAATTTCTACTCTGTTAATATTAACTCAATGAAAAGTTGTTATTGTAGTCAATTGATAAGAAGGTGTTTAAAAAAGGAACCAATGTATGCAGAGAAGTCTTCGTTGCAGCAGGGATTTAGGTATTAGTTGGAGAGTTTCAGGCACTACTGCAGATATCTAAGAGGTAGCTGCAGTGGTCTAGAGTTTAGTTACAGAGATCTGGGGATTAATTGCAGAGATCAACGGACTTTAACTGTCCAAAAACCACTGAAAGCAGAGATATAAATGTTGTTGCTTCTCTACTTTTGTGTCTTTGTATTAGCTCCAAGCAGCAGAGAGAAGAGTCTCCTGAACCCAGCTGTGTGTCCCTGAAGAGTGATCGGTCTAAGGGTGCTCTGATTAACTTCAAAGATGGACGTCCTTCCAATGACCCAGTGTAAGTATTTAAAGTAGGGCTGTCAGTCGATTAAAATAGTTAATCGCGATTAATCGCAAATTAATCGCACATTTTTTATCTGTTCTAAATGTACCTTAGAGGGATATTTTTCAAGTTTTTAATACTCTTATCAACATATGAGTGGACAAATATGCTTTATATGTTTGTTTATTATCATTTGAACAATGACAAATATTCTCATGAATATTAAACACAACAACCTGAACATTACAAATATTCGCCTCAATTCAACCTGGAACCTCTCTCATACAATGTGTGTGTGTGTGTGTGTGTGTGTGTGTGTGTGTGTGTGTGTGTGTGTGTGTGTGTGTGTGTGTGTGTGTGTGTGTGTGTGTGTGTGGACACTGTGATGGATCGTTGAGCTATGTGCAGCTCAAGGCATATATGCTCGAACGGGAGCTGCCTGGACGCTGCAATCATGTTGCGCGCACTCTCCGTGCTGAGTGTGCTGACTTTTCGTACAATGTCCCACTGTCTGGCTACCTGCATCAAGTCAAGTGCTCGGCGCAGTTGTCGGCGAAATGTCGCTCCTCTGTTTTCATTGAAACAGCTCCTTATATCCGTTAGCGCAGCTAGCTAGCACCAGATGCTAACAACAACAACAACACGTAAGGTGTGCTTCGCTCGCGCCACACATACACACTCCCTCCCGGTCCTCCCGATGGCCAGTCCGGGCCTGCCGGTGAGCGTGGAAGTGTGGTCTGCCACAAGCGGGCGGCAGGAGCGGGGCTGTCAGCATCAGCTTGTAGATGGTATTTTAAACTCGATGCTTGACTCATAATAAACCTGTACATCTATAAAACACATTCAGATAGAATCCTGATACTGGACTGCAGTTTGAACTTTGATTATTCTCTTATCTTATGAAGACTCATATTCCATATTTATTGAGGCGTCTGTGGGTCAAAGTGCTCTCATAGAAAGATCTCTGTTAATGAATAACTCAGAAACAGTTTATTATTGTTATGATGGAAAAACCAATCAATGCAGAGAGATCTGAGGACTGGTTGAGATGTCCAAGTACTAGTTCCAGAGATCTAGGGACCTGTTCAAGAGGACCTAGGGACTAGTTACAGAGCACTAGAGACTTGTTGCAAAGATTTGTTTCCCTACTTTTTCCCCTGAACATTGACTCATAACATTGATACTTCTCTTATCTTACGAAGGCTCTTATTTCATCTTTATTGAGGCCTCTGTGGGTCAAAGTGCTTTCATAAATATAATGATAATTTCTACTCTGTTAATATTAACTCAATGAAACGTTGTTATTGTAGTCAATTGATAAGAAGGTGTTTAAAAAAGGAACCAATGTATGCAGAGAAGTCTTCGTTGCAGCAGGGATTTAGGTATTAGTTGGAGAGTTTCAGGCACTACTGCAGATATCTGGGAGGTAGCTGCAGTGGTCTTGGGTTTAGTGAGATCTGGGGACTAGTTTGAGATATATAGGGACTAGTTGCAGAGATCTTAGGGATTAATTGCAGAGATCAACGGTCTTTAACTGTCCAAAAACCACTGAAAGCAGAGATATACATCTTGTTGCTTCTCTACTTTTGTGTCTTTGTATTAGCTCCAAGCAGCAGAGAGAAGAGTCTCCTGAACCCAGTTGTGTGTCCCT